GCGGGTCGACGGTGACAGTGCTCACGGCGGAGAAGACTTCGTCGGTGACGTAGTTTCGGCGACTGCAGTGGGCAAAATGACCAAGCAAGAGCGGAATAGGGACCACAGCATCAAGACGAAGCTATAGAACCTACAAACAAGGACAACGGCTCACCAGATGATGCTGGCCGTGGTGAACCGGAGCTTCAGTCGAGATCGCCGGCCGCGAGGAAGAAGAGTCGCAAGCGGAGGTTCTCGGCGATCCCAGACAACCACAGTGGTTGGGATGGGTTCAAAAGGACGAGACGGAGTTGTAACACCATTTTTCCGAGGCTGGTTTGGGCTGAGGAAGCGAGGGGAACTCGCCGGAGTTGAGGCGGCGACGTCGGGAAACAGAGCAGGGAAAGAAAGGGTGACGACGGCGTTCCGGGCTTTATTGCGCGTCCAGGAGCGCGCGGAATCGACACGCAGCATGCATGCAGTGCCAGCGCGAAGCCAAGGGCGGCCGAGGGCGAGCCTGGAAGGCCGGAGAAGGTACGTCGGCGGTGGGACGGTGATCGTGACACTGTTCATGAGAATTACAGAATTGACACTGAATTTAATTTGCAAATTACTCACAAATATTCTAAAGAATTTGAAAATCTCCAAAAATGAAAGTTGCTCAACTTTTCAAGCTCTACAACTTTGTTTCAAGGAACATTTTCAAATTCTGCCTCCATTTTGAAATTTGAATTTAGGGTGCATTTGAGTATTTGAATCATTTCAAAATTACTCCAAATTTTATATGTAAACTTGAAAAACTTTGAATACCAAAGTTGATCCACATAAAATAAGCTCCAACTTTGCTTTTTGTCACAACCCCAAATTCCAAATGGATTTTAAAATATCCAAAAGGGGCAAAAAGGACTTTTATAATTTAAAGTTGAATTCAAATTTGATTTGTTTTCCTTTTGTCTTAAATTTGAATTTTGACCAGTAACATGGCCCATTAGGGTTATTTGAGTCAAATGACACATGGTCTCACATGATCACATGAATATTGACCCTTGTGGTCATGATCTTTGTTTAACCTTTTGAATCACATTGCATCACATAAAATAACAACTTATGAAACAAATCTTATTTAGTGAATGCATTCCAAATTTTCTTCTTTATGAATGCTTTGCAATGCATATGATGACATGTCAAGTTTTAGTTCTAGGTCAAAACACCAGAGGTGTTACAGTCAGCCAGGCTCACCCTCCCTATGGCCCAGGACTGCACCCAACGACAGCGCATCTTGGCCGAGCCCAGGAGCAACAACTCGACAAACACTTGGTTCTTCTCTGAATGTGGGCTTGGTCTGCCTCCTCTGCAAGCCCACGACTCTTTGACTACCGTGTGTTTGGTTGGGAGGACTAGGTAGGATGGTCCCGGGATCAACCCTGTTTGGTTCGGAGGCGAAGTGGAGCGGGACAGCCTCCACGCGAATATTCGTGTGAGATGCGGGGCGACCCCGTCCCCCAAAATTTCACGGACGGGGTCGGGACCAGGTGGGACGAGCCATTGGGAAGAAGAGCAACGCGAAGAAGAGAAGAGAGAAGGCCATGGTCGGGCGCGGTGGAGGTCGGCAGGGTGGAGGTCCATGGGCGAATGAGGTCCGGCGAGCTTCGAAGGTGGAGATCCGGCGAGACAGAGATCCACAGGCACCACGCGCGGCCATGGGAGCAGAGCTCCGCCCCTGGCGCCGGCGTGCCCGGCCCTGGCGAGCTCCGCCCCTAGCGCCATCGTGCTCGGCCCCGGCGAGCTCCGCCCCCGGCAGGCGCGCGAGCTCTGGGGCCGGCCCTGCCGCCGCGGGAGAGGATGGGAGGAAGAAGGACGGGCGCGCGGGAGAGGATGGAAGGAAGGACGGGCGCACGGGAGCTCGAAGATGGAGGAACCCAGCGGGGCGAGCACGTTGCCTCGCGGGCCGCCGCGCGGGCGAGAGTCGCCGCCTCGCGGGCCTCCTCATGGGCGAGCGCAAGCACGCCGCCTCGCGGGCCACCTCGTGGGCGCGGGACGAGCTGGGAGGAAGGAGGAACGGGGCCAGCTCGGGGGAAGGAGGCGTGGGGCGAGCTCGCTGGATGGAGGCGTGGGGCGAGCTGGGGAAGCCAGGCGCCGGCGGAGGAGACGAGGTTGGGATCGAAGAGATAAGGAGAGGAAAGAGAAAAGAACAAAAAACATTAAAAAAACTGACAATTGGGTCCCACCTGTCAGTAGCTAATCCCACTTTTGTTGTCTCCGGTCCAAACAGAAAACGGGTTCGTCCCGTCTCTCTTTAACCAAACAGAAAATGAAACCGTCCCACCCCACTTTGACTCTCAACCAAACGCTACCTAAAGGCACGTCCATCGTCACGACTCTCACCTTTGTGCTTCTCTTCGCACCTCCTCGGTTTGGCAAGGTTTTCAAGACTCGCAGTGGCATGCTCGTTCTCGTGTCATGGAGGTAAGCAAGGCTTAAAATTTGATAGCCTTGTAAATTATAATTGCCAATAATACATTTCCGCAAGCTCTACTTAATTAAATCCATACTTAGTTTAAATATAAAATTAAACCATAAGAGTGCTCTGCTAACAACGAAGTAGAAATTTATGGGATTCCATCTCATAGGAAAAGATTAAGGGCGCATTTGGTAAGGCTCCAGATTCTTCGAGAAACGTTTCAGATCTAAATTCTCCATAAAAAATGTTTCTCTCCTGAAATAGTGAGAATCGGTGAAATCGTTTGGCTACAAGATCCAGATTCTCACTGAAATGAACTAGAATCATCGAGAAACACCTATTTGGGTGATTCTCATTCCTAGTTAAAAAACGAGAAAGGTTTCTCTATCGAATCACTTCGCCAGATACCCATTTAGCACAAATTCTGGTGATTCTTACGAGAAATGGAACCAACTCTTGCAGCCAAATGCACTCTAAAACAGACAAAAACTGCTCTCCAAAGTCCAAACCATGTAAGGGACCGTTTGGAATAGAGTAATCCAAAATAGAGGAATGGTTGGAAACGGAAGGGATAGGAATGAAACATGGAAATGAGAAAAACCATAGAAAATAAATAGAGAGAGGTGTTTAGAACCCAGAATTTACGAACATGGGGGTTTGAAAATTAGGAATGAGAAAAAAAATTATTAGAAGCACCAAGGAAAAGATCATAGTAATTAACATTCATAACTTGCACGTGCATCTTTTAAATGGAGTGAGATCGTTACTATTAGATTTTCATAGGAATTAGTTTTTGGAATGCAGAAATCGAAAGGTCATGGTTAAATTTGAAAAATAAACAGTCGGATAATTTGCTTAGATTTTTAAGCCAATTAATGCTGGCGCTTTGCAACTAAGTTAGCTGGTCTGAACCGTTTTCTGCGTTTTAGAATAAGATGATACTCCATCCGTCCCTAAATAAATCAATTTCTAGAATCCATGCTAGTCAAACTTTTTAAAATTTGACTAACTTTATAGAAAAGAGTAATAACATCTGTGACATAAAATGAGCACCGTATGAAAATATATTCTATGGCAAATCTAATGATACTAATTTGATATCATAAGTCTTAACGTTTTTTCTAGAAATTCGGTCAAAATTTAAAAAGTTTAACTTAAAAGAACTCTATGAATCTATTTATTAAGAGACGGAGGGTACTATTTCCTTTCTTTTTTTTATAAGACGCACACATATCAAGATTCAAGCTTTAAATTTTTTGATCAATAATTTGTCTGACAATTTTTTACTATTATAATAGAAACTTCATATGGTTAGATTTGTAAGAAGATAAATAATAATGATATAATATAGAGTAAATGAATAATTAAAGTGTAATTTAGGAGACCGTGTCATTCTAAACCATATCGCATAGAATGGACCGGAGGGAGTAGTTGTGAGGAGAAATATGACAAAAAAACTACAAAAAAGCGTATCATTTGGCTTCCAGCTTGTTTTTGTCGTAAACTATATGCAATGTTTTTTTAGAATAACTATATGCAATGTTGTGCCAGCTGCCCAGCCCGCGCTGCGCAGCGGCTGCCAGTGTATAGATGCATGGCCAAACGGGGCAGCATGGCCGGGCCCTTGCTCGATATTGGGCACGATGTTTGTAGTCGTGTCGGGTCGTCGTGCCCACTCTCGGCCCAAGCACGGCTCTACGGACACTTACTGTGACACTCCTGTCGTGCCCGGCGCACCGAACCCGTGAAGGCCCGAGTCCATGCCGCATCGTCGATGCAGCCTCGCCTTGCACTCGAGGATGTCGCGCCGCGCCGCCGCCACTCCCCAGCTCCCCACGGCGAGGCCGTCGCGCCGCCCCTCCCCGCACCAAGGCTGTCGTGCCGCACGTCGAGGTCGATCCCTAGCTCCCCTAGCACCGAGACCGTCGCGCCGCGCGCTGAGACCGCCGCTACCTAGCTCCCCCAAGCCGAGGCCGTTGCGCCGCCGTGGGGAGTATAGGAGGTGATGCAGACGCGATCATGTGGACGTGCCAGGCCAAAATCCGTGTCGTGCCTATGTAGTGTAGACCGTGCGGGCTGCAGTCACGGCTCCGGCACAACACTACACTCATGCTGGAGTCACGGCTGAGGCACAACACTACGCTCATGCTCGTGCCGACACCGTACCGGCACTGCAGCATCGCACGTCAGAGGGTAGGGTAACCCAATAATGCCTCCCACAGCCACGGCTTGGCATGTCGGCAGCATGCCAGCCACCGATATATATACTGCCTTTTTAACAGTGCTTTTTTTGGGTCATTTTAACGACGATTTGACGTATGACCGACTGTCATTTTGTATGTGTGGATCAGCATAGCGCCATAGCACCTATCATCGAGAGAAGCAAATCATGCAAGGGCAGGGGCAGAGAGCCAGAGAGCAAGAGCAACAGAAGCAAGAAGCAGCACAGCGGGGCCTATATTTTATTTTACAAACACGGCAGGGGTACTTGTACAATCCAGTAATGAAAACACATGAACCTAACAGCATAATTGACTACACAAGGATTAAGGACAGTGTCCTATGGTTTGGTGGGGTGCCTGTGCTTGGGCTTCGCGGTCGGCGGAGAGCCAGCATGCATGGCCACGCTGCTGTAGTCCGCGCTGTAGATCAGTCCTGCCTCAGCGTCCTCCCCCTTATCCGCCGTCCACCGTGCCTTTGCCTCCTCGGGTTTCTTCACCTCCATAGCCACTTCCTGCACACCATGGACGGAAAACTGTGTCAAGTTCTCTGTCTGCACATTGCTGAACATGTTAACTGAACCCAAAGAATTGAAGATGTTTACTGAACCCAAAGAAATGCATCCTATGTAGGGAAGACGTACTGAAGACAGGCAGGCAGGCAACGGCTGGATTCAGCCTTCAGGCACTCAGTTTTTCTTTAGCAGATAACGAAATGAAACTTCAACAGGCTCTTGGTGATGGATGTATGAGCTATGTATGGAGTATGGAGTATGAACTGACCTCATGCTGCTCCATGTGCTTGCTCTGATGCTGGTAATGGTATCCCGAGGACTGGCTGAGTTCTCTGCCTTTGCGACCTAGAACCAGCTCTGGATGCCTGCCGAGGAAAGACCGAGGCGAGGATGAAGAAGCACCTGCAACTGCAAGAGTGGCTAGAAGAAGGCTTGAAACAAGTACTACACAGGATGCCTTCATCATGCTGCTGTATTGGGCTATTGGCAATGTTGTCGATGCTGGTAACACGAGAAGAGCAGAGCAGGCTCCTCTCCACGGCTCTCTTGGGGATATATAAAAATAAATTGGGACGGCTGCAGGACCCAAATGCACGATGGTGTCTAGAGTTTGACACTTTTGCAGATTAGACCTGTATATTTATGAAAAGTTAGATACTTATGATTCGGATTAGCTTAGTATCATCTATATGCACCACTTTGCAACACATGGCAAAACGGGGGCGGTACTAGCATAATGAGCCTTAGTTTGTGGACCATTACGTCACATGTGAGTGAGTAAGCAATTGCGTTAGGAGGCTACAATTATTAGGTAGCTAGGGGCACGGGCAACCCCGGAGTTTGGCGATTTCCTGAATACCTTTTTGAATGGCTTTTCTTTCTTTCTTTTTCTCTACGGGCTCTCGTGAGAATAGATCCCTACTACTAAAATCTGCCAAACTAAAGAGGGACCCCATCACCCAGGCAGCATACACACATGATGCTGCTCCATCGGTCGACTGAACTGATCAATGCTGTCTCTCGTCTGCACTACCGTTTACCGGCCTGATGGGATGGGCAATGTCCTCGCACTGACACCCCATGCCTCAGGGTTCTTTCATGCTCATGGTCTGGGTGGATGCATGATGCATCATGCCTGCAGTGAGATTCCTTGTGTTGTGTGTATGCTGCGTGCACCTCAATATACCAAGGTTGTAGGAGACCCTATCTATGCCAATAGAAGAGAGAGATAGTGACTCTTTACAGAAGATGAATGTTCAGATAGAAAAAAGCAATGGCCATCAAACTGAAGTTTGAGCTAATTTGCAGGACTTCCGAAAAACATTTTTGCAGATTCTCAACATCTCCTGGCCCCTCTTGGGCCTCACCGTGACCCCCATGCCTCAGCGTTTTTTCACGCTCATGGCTCATGTTCTGGGTGGATGCATAGCCTTCACTCAGTATTACCATATGCTGCATGCATCTCAATATGTCAAGACTGTAGTTATAGCCTTGTAGGAGACCCTATCTATGGCAATAGAAGAGAGATCCAGTGACTCGTTGCAAAGAGGTAAGCGTTGAGATCAACAAAGCAATGGCCATGCCCTTCAAAAACAAAGCAATGGTCATCAAGTCTTTAGTTTGAGCCGATTTGCAGGACCAGGCCGATAATAACCAACCACTAACCACCCTGATTTATTTGGTCCTTGTCTAACGACGGCAAGGCAACCTCCAAAAATGCATATCTTTCTGTGGGGGACTTGTGCTGCAGATTCGTTGTACGCTTGGCACTTGGCAGCATGTGGTTTCAGGCATGTTAGCTTGTAGTATTCTGAAAGCTGAGACACCTCAATAATATTTGGTTATTATTAGTTCCTGATTAGAGCCGTCTGGTGCTTGTGTCTGCCAGAATGGGGGGCTCGAGACAACGAGGTCAAGCTCAGGGAGGTTTCTTTTTTATCAGACCTTGTCCTGCTTTGTCTCTTGCTCATAAGCTGTTGGTCACGGACACGTCAAGTTTTATATATGGGCTCGGCGTATAGTAGTACTAGTATGGAAGTGTGTACCGACATGCATGCGGCCTAAAATGACATGCCACCAGCAGCGGATAGCATCGTCGTCCCTTACATTGCGATCGTTGTCTTTTGCATTGCTCTTCGGTCTGGACCAGTGGCAGACTTCAGCACTAGTTCTTTTCCCTCTTTCCGCTGCCGTTGCTCTTATTAGTTGTAGTTGGGTTCACAAATCACAACAGAAATCAGAGTGATCATCTGATCACAATGTTTGTCAACAGAAAACTGTGTGCCAACTGCCAAGTGCATATATAATCGTATATAGAACCAATGATGCACGCCTAATTTTGGGGGAGATTCTCTCTACTCTTATCCACTGTGAGCGTATTTGAATAAGGAAATAGTCTAAATTACCCCATGAAGGTTTGGTCTATGTCTGAATAATCACCTACATATATCAATGTTTGGTTCGATTTACTCCTTGCTCATTTCAGTTAGTCCAGTTTATTCCTTAATAAAATTTGTTATTTTATTTCTCTGCGTACGAGTTGAGTCTAAATCTCATTTCATTAGGTGATAGAGGGCACAATACTTTAGTTTTAAAAAATATATCTTGAATTTTTTTTTTCATCACTATTCTGGCAGGTTAGGAAATTCAATAAAAAAAATAAATTAACACTAAAGGTACAATATATAGTGATGAAATTTCATAATGTATTTTTCTAACACAAAATATGATGTTTTCTTTAATTTCATATAAGAGTAGTAGTACGTATGTCAGCAGAAAACTGAACCAACCAACTGCCAGTGTGATAGTAGTACCAATCATGCACGCTTAAGCTCGGAGGAGATTCTGTATGCATGGTAGTTTTCTTAATTAACTATCCACTCTATTAATTTGAATAATACCAACAGTCGCGTATTTATAATACAAAACTATGGGCCTGTTCGCTGATTGGTGCTGGTGCTGGTTTCGGCTGGCTGGTGCTGATTTTTTGTGAGAGGAAAACACTATAGGCTAGCTGGTTTGGGCTGGCTGAAACCAACAAGCGAACAGGCTGTATATATGGGAGTTTACTCGAACTCTAGTCGTCTAGTGCATGGTTGGAGCGTCCGTCCGTCTGAACGGAAGAAACAGGGCCAGTCAGCCACCCACGACTGACTTGGATTGGACGCCTCACATTTTAATAGCGGAGAATCCTTATCCAGCGAGCAGATTCGCTTGTCTCATCATCCCGTGGAGGTGTGGACACACAGCGCATTTGCTCTCAAGGGAAGGCCTTGCTTTACTACTACACAAAGAGAGAGAGAGGCGGAAGGCCTGGCCTGCTTTAATTTCTGGCTAGCCAGGCCCAAGGTCTCGTGTCGTGTGCCTCGGCCAGATGGGCGCTTGGCCCATGCCAAACGACCCAGACTTGAACAGTTGAACTGCCGCCACAGCGCACAACGCGCGGCGCGGTCCGAGCCCAGTCGTGGCAGCGGGAATCATGCCGTCCCCTGCGCGCGCGCGCGGGCGTCGCGGTCTACCCAGCTCGCGCCGCCGCGTGCCGTCCGCTCCAGGACGGGCGCCGGCTCGAATGCTCGATTCCGCGCGCGGCCTACGCGTCGTCACCGGCGCTAGCTTGCCACGCTCCGCGCCGGCAGCTGGCCCGCATGACGCATTCGTGGTGCGTTGCCTTGTCCTGCCGGCCTGCATTGGCGCGTTCGTCACGTCGCTGGGACGGCATGCAGGCACTTGCAAAAACAGCTGGGGAAGAAAGGAACGGCACTAGAGAGAGTGGCTGTTCCTGCTTCCAAATGCGGATCGAGTAGAACGGCACGGCATCGGCATGCAGCACACGGACGGGACGGCGAACACTTCTGACTGCAGTGCAGAATGGGAAGGGGTGTGGGTGGCTGGGCAACAAACAAGTCAAAGGAGGACTACAGGTCTCTGTCTGTCTCTCTCAGTAGTGCGTGTTTGACCCACGCGGGCAATGCAACCAACGTAGACGGTAGAGCGAGGTACCGTACCCACAGGCCATAACCCACTTTTCTCACCACCAAGTAGCTTTCACAGCAAGTAGTTTTACAACAGTCAAATGTTACACGTGTTTTTTTTTTGGGGAAAGTTCTGGAGGGGCCAAGGCCCCTATAGTAAAGAAATTAAATTAAACAACCAAGGAGAGTTTTACATCAACATTCAAGAAACAAGAAAGACGTTCTCTAAGCTATGAATTACAACCAGTTTTGAATCCATGTAAAATAGTTCACGTTGGGAACTTTCTTTTGCTTTGAGAGGGGTCAAGGCCAACTCCTTTTTGAAATTGTTCCTGCAAACTTGAATGTTTGGTCCAATAATTCCATTGAAGATCGAATCATTTCTAACTCCCCAAATTGTCCAACACATGATGATAGCTGCATTCAAAAAGAATTCAGAGTTCAGAAGATCTCTGAATTGCAGTGTGACTTCATGGAACGAAGCATGTGCTGGGAAGTTCAAGTTTAGGATGTTCTGGCACGATCTTGCGATATTCAAGGAAAAGATGGTTAAGGGTCTCTTCAGTTGCTAGTTGACAAAGTTCACAGTTGTAAGACTGTAGCTGGATATTATTTCTCTTTAGGATGTTTCTTGTGCCCAATCCATCTTTCAGGAGCAACCAGAAAAGGCATTATTATATGAGCAACCGAAGCATTATGATTTCATACGATCACAATTACTTTGGGTTGCCAAAAATACTTGAAACCGAAGCATTATGATTTGATAAGAGCTCACATACTCTGCATTACCAAAAATATGAGCAACCGAAGCAGAATTATTTGACAGAGCTATACATTCAATAGAAGCAAAATACAAATATAATTTTGCAAACTTTATTTTAAATTCGCAATCAATATTGGCGTCATCAACTAGGCTTTCGCCAAAGTCCCAGCAAGGGGCTTCACCATTCGTGACATCGACTAAGAGTCAGCGCAAACTAATCTAAAAGCATGAAGGGGCTCATTTTGCTGCTTCTAGCCCCCTCAGCTCAAAAGGTATGGGATTGGTACCAAAGTAATCTAAAAGAGCTCAGCGGCTCATTTCGTAAATCCTCACCCTGTTGCCCCATCACCTCAAAAGGTATGGGGCTCGGCGCCAAAGTAATCTAAAAGACGCCAAGGGGCTCATTTCGCTACTTCTAGCCTCCTCGGCTCAAATGGTATGGGGGTTGGCACCCATGTAATCTAAAAGCGCCGAGGGGCTCATTTCGTGACTCATCACCCCTCACCCCAAATGGAACGAGGTTAGCGCTAAAGTAATCTAAAAAAGTCGAGGGGCTCTCTTCGCTGCCTCTCCCCCACTTCGCTATTGAAAGTTCAGCAACCCACTGTTTGAGACTTTGGTCGAGTTACGACGAGGGGCTTCGCCATCGACTTCGGTGTCATCAACTATGCCTCCGGTAACATTTTGGCGAGGGACTTCGTCACAAGCCTTGGCGAATTTGACACCAACCGACCCAACATTTTTTGTAAAGGGCCTTGCCACTGATTCTGACATCAGTGTGTGTAAATACCTCAAAATGAAAGGACAAATTTTCTTCATCCATAGTAAGTTCCTTGACACCTGTACATAACACTCATTGATGAGATGAGCACATGTAAGAATTCTCAACCTCTACATTATGAGCAATGGCAAAACAAGTGGCATTTTGAGTGCCATGACTCCTTCACTCCATTCACTAGCTTTGCATCTTTGTCCTTAGACACTTTGGATTGCTCATTGTGTGGCTTTGCATTTTTTTTCCTTCGATTTTCTGCCATTAGACACTTTGGGTTGGTCATCCTATGGCTTTACTTTTTTTGCCATTAGACAGTCTGGATTGGTCACCCTGTGGCTTTGATTTTTTCCCTTAGACAGTTTGGATGGGTCATCTTGTGGCTCTGCTTCTGGGTTCTCATGGACCAAACACAATATGTTCATTGTACATAGCTTCTGCCCCGTTTTA